CATTTCTTTTACTAACTTGCTGTGTAGTGGTGAGATTGCTAGTTGTTCACATTTATAGAGGCTTCAATGGTACCTTAATTACGATGGCCGCCCCCAATATTACTAACACACTGTGGAGTGGGAACCCTGTAACCACTCGTTCCGTCCCTGTGGGGATAAGCAAGGTTACGGAATTGAGTAATCCCACCATTAATAAAATCATTTATGGCTTATCAATATATATATATATATATATATATATCGCACATCACCAATAATTTCATCAGTCATTGCTTACGTAACAATAATGTCTCCTTGATCAATTTTGGGGATGGGTTCTTGTGGTTGCATTTTCTAAACTTTTTTTTTTTTGCTTAGTCAACTGAAAAATTTTTATTATAATGAAACTGATATAGAATCATGGCATAGCCAAGTAACACGGAACAACGAGACCCATCAAAGGTCTATCCTCCAAACAGACGTCTAAATAAACATAACATATAGCCTGAGAGCCACATAACAAAGGACCAAAGCTTTAAGGAAAAACACCTATCCAACAGGGGATAGACCACCAAAATAGAACAAAGGACCATCACAAAACAAGCATAAATTGGAGAGCTTGACACCTTCCAGCAAACAGATCAGCTGCAATTGAAACAAAACTCTTTAAGCCCAAGACATATCATAATCAACAACAGACCAAAAACATTCTGCCTTGAACATCCTTGCCAATTAAGCAAACCAACGGAACCTTCATCCCAACCCATACCTCGTACATGATTGCTGAAAAAGGCAACGCCAGAACACTACCACAAAAAGCCTTTCACTCAATCTACTCAACTGGATCAAGTTTGGCACCTTGCGTGACTTCTTTGACTGAGATAATTGTATGCAATAAAAGAATTCTGGCTGCTGATAGGACCAAAGAAAATACCAACAACAAGCCCTGTACCACTAGGTACACGTACCGAGTATATGGTCTTTATAAACTATTTTAATGTTTTATGTAACACGGTTCTAAGTACCATTAGGTGTGCATAATGTCCAACGGCATTAAGTACCTCTAGGTACGAACTCCTTTTGTACATGGATCTAAACCCCAACTAAGGGTAGATCTTTCCACTGTATGGTCAGTGACATTAACTATATATCTATTATTGATTGAGAAAAAAAAAACCATAACATCATGATTTACTAAAAAATAAATAGATTCCACCATTAACCACATCAAATGTAAGATGAAGTATCATATCTTATCTAAGCAAAGAAATACTATTAATTAGTGTAAAATAGTTTTATTTTTTTGTCTCTTAAATATGTTATATCGTCTAAATATTAGCTGATGATCCAAAAAAAATATTTATAAGGAACACTCATACGAATAGGATAATTTGCCTAAAATTATTACCGATGCTACCAACAAAAATGATAATAGTAATAAAGTCAAAAGGGAAAAATAAAAAAAAATCTGTCAAACATACACAATACATTAATTGATTCTTTACTATCTTTTCATCAAAAAAAAATTCATGGAAATAAAGACCATGTTCAGTGAATTAATTAATTTTTCCACCTAGAAATCATATCATACAATGCATAAAAAATATAACTAAACACCAACCTAAATATTAAATTCTTTAGTCGTTTGTGTAGTAGATGGTACACAACTATAACATTGGTTTTAATGTAATTGTCTTTATTTGGTTAAACGTTGATTATTATATTTGACTTTGATTGGTTCTTTGCTCCCCCACTTAAAAGAATTTGGTCCCCAAATTCAAAATTCCCTAAGCTTCAAGTCTTGTCCAACTCTTGATTAAATGTCACTTACAATCTTCCTCCGACGAAGTTCATCTTCGCAATCTAACAACACATCCCATAAAACTTCACATAATCATATAACCACAAACAATTCAACATAAATCCAAATCTTATATAGTCAACTAATCAAATATCCTAAAACTTCAAATCTCAATTCTTGTCCAAAGCAAGATGCAATCACAAAAGATAAAACTCCTTAATTTTAAAGATCCATAATCCCAAAGTATGCAAATACATAAATCCCAACCTTGCCTTGGCAACATAACTTTAATGCAATTCCACTTTATTCAGTCAGTCTTCCTTACTAATGAGATTAACACAATAAAGCATCTTAATATCATAACTCATATTTGTTCTCCAATTATCTTCGGTATAAAAATCAATAATCATACACCATTGATACACAAATTAATCAAGCGAAATCCATTTGTTTTGTAGATCCATCATTTGCTAGGTTAAAAATAATCCTTGTCTTTACCAAATCATACTTCCACTGCACACTCTGATATTTCATTCCATATAACCTTTGAATAGCATATATATTTTCATAACATATCTTACACAACTATAGTCACAAGTCTAAGAATCTCTCCAGAAAAGAATTCTCAATTCATGTCAAGTAATTAGAACCACATACCACCTCAAATCTGAATAACAACATTAAGAAATCCTCTGGTCAACTCAAAAATATCACAAATAATAGTCACAATACTCTATTTCCTTTTGTAAAGGGCTTCCCCTTTCAATCAATGAAATTATTCTAATTTTCAAAAAAAAAAAACTAGTTGTCAAATACTTTTCAACAATTTGACCCTCATTACACTATGACAAAGTCCATACTATCACATCCATAAGTTTTTGGGTTTTTTTTTTTAATACTCCTCATCATGAAACTATGATAAAATCAAACCAATACACCAAATAACGTCCATAAATCTTACACTATACATTTCAAATATTAATCCTTGACTGTCGAAATTATCCTCAAAATTGCACTACTATTTGCTTCCAATTTCATAGACCAATTATCATATAATAGTAAAACACTTCACGAAGTTGATAAGTATCAAAGTATTCCAACTGTCTTCATTCAAGTCTATCATTATCAACTCCAAAATTAAAATCCAAATCTATGAATCATAAGAAATTCTTTTTATATAGATTTTTGATCACTATAAATCCCAACTAATTGGATTCATGCCAAAAACAAACATTCAACCACCAATCACGAGCATCACCTAATCTTATAGACTTTCTTATATTCTTCAAAATTGAAATTATAGTCAAGATTTCCAAATATACAAAATTATAATTAATAATTGGTCTACCACAATGGAAAATCATATTCAACATATTTATAGCACATCATATCTTCTTAACCAAACATTTTTTGATAGACACAATACTCATTCAAAAATCAACTTCTTTAATACAACCTTTCCATAATCATCACCTTAGTCTTTATATACAAAATCATGACAAAAACTTAATTATATCATGATAAATGATGTTCTCCAATAAACATAATCTAAATGAACCTCATATTGTACTTCAAGTTGTATTACAATCACAATTCACAAATTAATTACATTAATCACTAACAAATTCCAGTACTCCGAAAGAGATCTAATGATCAATTCTCAAATTTAGCGCCATATTGATTCTCAATGTCAAGCTTATATACTTTTCAATTAAAACAAACCACAAAATTGAACAAATATCCTTTTTTTATCACCATAATGTCACTTCTCTACCAATATAAGATTGGAAACAAAATTCAATAAGGCAATTCACGAGATTAATACCAATATATACCTCAATATTTCAAAATATCATATCATGTCAACTTTGATAATTTATATTTAAACTCCAACAAAGCATATTTAAATCATGATCAAGGATTCACTTAACATCCATCAGAATACTCTAAAAATCTCAATAGGTTAAAAATCTAATTTCAATTCCATAGTATCTCCAAACATAAATTTTTTTTTCACAATACCCTTGAGCTTAAAATATATAACTTATCACAATTCATACTAAAATCACTTCAACTTATACACATTGCATAACTATTTATCAACTTAACCAATCCTTTTCCTCACGACTGATTTCCAAAACTATTATCTATGCATCAATTGAACTAAAGACTCCAAAATCATAGAATCCTTAACTTGAGCTCTAATACCACTGAATTTGTCACATCCCAAACCCAAGGTTTTGGGACTTAACAGACACCACATACTCATGAGACAAATCCCACAAGCGTGTAAGGCAACAATATCATACTTAGTTAAATGTATTATCTCCAAAGTCTTTTCAAAATTTATATTGTACAAAATTCTTAAGTCTCCAAGTATAATATTAAAATACAATTCTCCAAAGATAAAAAATTGTCATCCAATTAACATTTCCTTACAAACTAATAACTGAATACTCACATCATAGCTTATAATTATCCAAGGGTAGACGTTAATCTTGCTAACCCAAAACTCTAGCCAAGCAAGCCTAATTCCTAGACATGCACAAATGTTGAAATCTGCGAAAAGATGAGAATTGAAGGAATGAGTACAACCACTTAGTAAGTAATTGGCATCTCTTCAGACGGGTTAAGCATGCTTAAAACATTTAGGTCAAAATTACTAATACATATATAAGTATCAAAATAGAATTTTGAGTAATCTCATTCAGAAACATATATTTCAAAATTTTAATTTCAAATTTACAAAAATCAATATAATTTCACTTTAGATAACATTGCTAACAAAATTTTCAAATTTTCAAATAACAAAACAAAACATAATTTCACAATGATTTCATATTTTTATTGGTCTCCTGTCACATGCTACGACCACACTTAACCCCTATGACATAAGTCAGAAATAAAACCACAATTAGCTCTGGTGACATAAGTCAGAATTAGAGCCACAATTAACCCTAGTAGCATGGGTCAAAAGTATGTCAAAAGCAACTATTAGCCAGATTGAACAGATATCACAAATACCACTATTCTGTACTCGATAGTGTGGTTGGGAGATCTATCTGTAATCACAGAATGCATGTCAACATGGCCAACATTTAATCCCCATTGGTAAGGGCAAAGCGAAACAATCTAGAAGACAAAACAAAAACATATATTTTTAAATTATCCAATTTTGCAAAATAGCATATCCACTTTTTCAAACATATCTCAAGCACATAAAAAAAAACACATTCGTTTCAAACTAAATATTTTATACTTGTATTCACAAAAACATATATGGATACATTGATCAAAAATCACATTCCAAAATCATATTTCAAAAATCAACATGGAGATCATATTTACTTATATATATTAGCATGCTTGTCTGATTTAATAAACCATAGGACAAAATATCATATACAAAGTACAAAAATCACATTGTCACTAATTTTAGAGTGTGAAAACAATAAAGGGATATCAATCACTTATTTGATTTGTTAAAAAAAAATCAAAAAACAAAGAATTAGAATCCTCTTCAAGCCTATTAATTCAAAATACTCAAAATTAGAAACCAACATTGCTAACTTATCAAAATGAGCGATGATTCTCTACTGGTCATTCTAAGGGATTTAGAGTGTAATACCTCTTTCGTTGATCGAAAATCAATTTAAATTACTTTAATAATTTATAAATACATAAAACATTCAAAACTTAGAAACTCGTAGATTATAGTACAAAATCAGTAACAATATAAGGTTAGGTGGAAATACTTTCAGTACAAATCAAAATTTACTTTCTCAAGATTTATACTAAAAATTTCCAAAATAAGCCAATTCAAAAATATTTTGTCAGAAAAATCTTTATTCATTCAAAAATTCACTAAAATGCAAGTAGCTTAAATTTCTGATATTTCAAGCAAAATGGGTTGAATATAGGTCAATAATAATTTTTGAAATAATTAAAAATGAATTGTCATAACTTCTGAAATTGCAGATTTTCATGACTGTTTGGCTTACTTCAAGCACTTATAGCTTACAACCTAAGTTAAAACTAGAAGTGTAATAAGTATTAAATTGAACCTTACATAACATATTTTAAAATCCAAATTTGTTTCAAAATAAAGATCATTGGAAATACAATTTTTAGAAGCCAAAAATTACAAAATCATCATTAGAATACCTAGATTTTTAGATTTTCAGATTCAATGAGTCTATTTTGGAGGCTTTGATTCTCATAACATAGAAAACCCCTCACCAAGCCATTGACAACAAATTAAACAAACATTTCATACTATAAAAACCCTCAAAGAAATGACTCAAAACATTTCCAGAATATGGAATTCTGGTGGCTCAAAGTTGGGTCGTCAACATTGTTAAAAACGGACTTCTAGTTAAATTTAAAAATTCATATCTTCGTAATCACAAAGCCAAATGAGATATTACAAAAATCATTAAAAATCTTTTCAAGACCTTTCCATTGATACCCATCATGCTATTGAAAAGTCACCAAAATAGTACTGGATTAGAATGGAAGTTAAAGAAACATAAACAAATTTTAGGGTCTTTTATTTTAAGCTATGCAAAAGTATAATTTTTATAAGTTAAAGTCTAATCATACCTTAACCATTGCTTTCTTAAATAAATTTTTCCTTTTTTTTTCTTTCTCTTTCTTCTCCAAGATTAGTTTCTCCTAATTGGTTTTCTTCTTCTGACCGTCTTCTTTTTAAGATGATATCAAACTAAGTTAACCTCTCTAACTCTTTTCCTCTTCTAAACTTGATATTGTACAACTATTTTTTAACTTCCTCTAATGGTTTTCCTTTAAACGTGATAATATAATTGTTCTTCGTTAAACATGTGATAAAAACTGACACTAATAAAACTGCTCTATTTGCTAAAAGACCCTTCTTCTTTTCTCTGTTCATTAATAAACCTCAAGGTTATATCTGTAATTATAAGAAAATCAAACTTATATTATATTTCTTTCTTTCTTTATTTAATATAGACTATAACTTAGTGATTAAATTTTTTTATAACAAAATTAATTAAGTATAATATATATATTAGGGGTATTATAGTTCTCGTCTTACATCTAATGGAATAGATTTTTTTTTGAATAGTGATTTTTATTAGCCTCATCACCAACATGCCATTACAAGTCTCTAGCTTAGATTGCAAGAGACTTGCATGGCATAAACGGTTAGTGAAAGTAAAACGAGCCTGTAAAATTTCCAAAATGATGTTACTTTTATGCATATTCTTTGGAAAGATAACTCTTTTGAGCGATTTATCAGAAAAACATTATGCGTGTCAACAGAAGTTACATAAAATTCAAAGTAAATAAATTGTTATGCATCATAATCTTTAAGAATTGTATACTTGAGATTACTGTCAATACGAAACTATAAAAAAGATTTGAAACTTAAATCATCCACTTTCAAAACGGATGAATTTTTTATCGGAACTTACATCACTCACTTTCAAGACAGATGAATTTACCAATGGAATCAATTATTGTTGATAAATTGCTTATGTAATTAGTTCATGAATGCTATGCAAAAAAAAAAAAATTAGTTCATGATTTGTTCGATTGAAAACAAACTGAGACTACACTTAAAATGGAAGAAACTCTCATTTCCCCGGTAATGCAAATGTGAATTGAACAAGAATTTGAGAATGTAGGAGTGGATTATGGGGCCAATTGTCCTACTCTCCTCCATTATTGTCCTCACAACTTTCTTTCACAAGGGCAAGAAAATCTTATCTACTTTTATGCCTTAAGGCGAAGACCAAAAATATCTAGAGATTCAAAACTAAACAATTAAAGAGAGTAGTATGTCTTTTGCTACTTGCTAGCAAGCTTTATTAGTATTATTATCCTGCTCTTTGTGAGAAGAAAATGGTTGAAAAGCTTCGTACTTAGCTGTTTCAGTTATGTAAACCTGCTCTGCTCAGCTTGTAAGACCAGATTACCAATTCCTAGCTCTAGTAGTTATCAGCTACTAAGCCACTTCTGGATTGAAACTCATGTTACTGCTAGTTCCTTGAGATATTTTGACAGATTCCCTTTCAATTCTGCATTATTAGACTTACTACAATAATAAAAATTTATAATTTAGGAAGAAAATTAGTGCAACCAGAAAACTGAGCAAGCATCCCACGCATGAATTCCTTTCTTGTTGCTGCTACCAAAGGTTTGATTATGCACAGAATGAAATAGGTTATCATCTCCTAAATTTAGTCGATTTTATAAGGAGACAGGAAAGAAAGAGCCTTGTGTTTGATGGCATTGAGGCAATCCTGTCCTGCAAATGCATGCCATGAACAGGCCAGAATTAAGACAGATAGCACAAACACCAGAAATCAGCTTCAGACCCATCAACAGGATTGAGAAAACAACACCTTAAGATCTCATAATCTGAAATGCTGCATATCAAACAGACAGCGGCATACTGTGTAACATTCTCCGATCAGGGTAATAAAGTATATCAGCAGAGAACAGCCTGAATCAGGGGTAAATACAGGGCTATATATCCAATGTATAAATCCACAACATGCAGTGGATCCGCAGAGATAATCTGAAGTAGGGGGAAGACTACCATTACAGATTAATGCTACTATAGCAGAGAATAGGCCAGGCAACATCGACCTCACAATAGTACCACATAGCAGAGAATGGAAAAATACAAATGTCAAAAGTGTTTCTTCTTTAAAAAGTGGCAATAAATTTCATTGGATTAAAATGGCAAAGTACATTCTGATACTATCCAAAGTACAAAGAAGGTCGGTTTAGACATTTCTTTTTATAAAAGAAGAAACAAATAAGTTATCAACGATTACAAACTATTCTTTTAGGTGCAATTTTATTAAATTTTGTCCTTCAATACTTCGTATAAGAGAAGCAGCTCCAAGAGGTAATTCAAAGTGGGACTGGATCAATGAGCAAGGAAGTGATGCCACCTTTTGCAGCTTTGCCAACATGTGTGTAACCATCTCCATCTCGGTAAAGGACATCCATCACCCGTGCAAGGTTGAGACTACGATTCAGAACTGGTACTGGCATTTCTGTTGGTTTCAGGAACTCCTTGTTTACATCCTTCCAGGAACTCTCGATATGCTTGTTGAACTCATCGTATGCCTCTTGCGCTGATACGCCATATTGTTCCATGTAACACTCTATGGCTGAGCAATCGTCTTCTCTCCTTTGGTTAAACTGCCATCCATAGAAAAAATTTCTTGTTTGATTAGAAACTCTTATTGAGGGTAAATAAGCTGCTCGTCCTGTCAAAGGCTTAAATTCAGGATAGTGTTAATAAAAAATAACTGATACTCGAATCCAAAACCTCTTATTAACCTCTCACTGGTGTATGAAGACATTTTAACACATTTGAAATCAATTTCTTTGATCATAGTAGTATACCTTGTGTTCAGCAATGTCATCCATGAACCTGCAAATAATTGTGGAAGCTCTGATGATATTAGGGTCATTAGCTGCCCAATTAAAGGTCTCTTGGGTTACAACATCTCCCATGCCGACGAATGCTGTGATAGCAAGCATAGCATAGCCAGAGGTAGGCAATGCATTAGACTTATACTCCTCAAACGTTGGTTTGTAATTTTCATGCATCCATTTCGCCTCAAGAAGGTAAGCTTGAGCAAGTCGTATCATCTGGCATGAAAATCCAACAACCATTAATAATGTTTCACAGGTATATATGTAATCAATGGGGTAACTGTCAATGATCATACCGCCTTTTTTGCATATTCGACACGGTATTGTTTCCCTTGCTCCAGCAGTTGTTCCATTTCTTCATAAACATCTAATAGTGCCTTATAGCTTATCTTCATGTAATCTGGGAGTTCATCAATACATTTAATATCCCACCTGAAACACAATTTAAAGGTTAATTACGTGTCTCATAATACTCGTTGAGATTCATGTATATATATACTTCAACTTTCAAAGTTGAAATGGATCTAATCACCTCTCAATGGCATCTGTATAGAGTATGAGCTCATCATATGTTCCATATGAATCATATGTATCATCTACAATTGATGCCATGGCTATAACTTTGGTCAACATCCGTCTACCAAGAGAGTATTGGGGCTCAAAGTACACTCCCATGATCCAAAAATAACCTTCAACCACTCTATCTCGTGCAAATGGTAGTTTTCTTGTAAAGTCTAAATCTTTCCACCACCTGAAAAACATCATTCCCTCATTAGCACTATCTAACCTTCAGGAAATAAATAAGGAAATAAAGTTTGTATGGGGCTCAATCACTTACCTGCAGATCTCACTCAGCTCTTTCCTATGCAGAAGTTGCAACAAGTTGAAATCTATCTTTGCAAACTGCAGCAATGCTTTGTTATGCGATTCATCATCTTGGTATAAGGAAATGCATTGCCTAGCTTCCACCCTTGGCAAGCCTCTTCGAATTGACTGCTTCAAAGCGTGAGCAACTTGTTCTGATAAAGGATAGTCCAAAGTTGGTGCTGCAAGAGTTAGGTGAGTGGTGGCGAAAGAAATTGCTTCATCAAGTAGCTCTTCCCCATGCACCCGCAGATAGGAAGCTTCGTAAAGTTCCAGCAATCCTCGCACGTCACTGGTCAAGGATGACTTGAAATTTCCTTTGTCGTCTTTGAACTTGTTGAATGCGTCTGCTTAATCACCCAAAGTCATTATCAAACATTCTTGGTAGATGAATTGTATTAAGAGTTACTAGAAACAAAGATTACAAGTCAAAAAGTTACTTCTCATACCACATGAAACATCAAATCCATGCTCTCTAAGTATTCTAAATCGAAGAGCTGTAGTGTAGAGATCATTGGCATCATTGTTGTCATGGTATATATGTTCTAAAGCATCTTCAATCTCTTTCTCAAAATGGTAATTCACACCCAACCGTTGGACTGCATCAATAAGGGGCAACTTTTGGTTTGAATCATCCATAGGTGCTACAAGCATCCTCCTCACTTCTTCTTTCAATTCTTCATATTGTAGTTCAGTTGTAGCATCAATATCCTGCAAAATGATGAAAATTTGTTTTTACTATAGAGTTTTTAATTTATAAATTAAATAGACACATAAAACAAATATGTAAATCACCTTCTATAATATATTAAGTATATCAATATTGTTATACAAGATAATATATTAATAGCGTTATGTTACATTAAGCTCAGTCTCTATATATGTAGAATTTAATTTTCTAGAAAAGAAACTTGTTAAATTTGTTGTATTATAAAGTTCTGACCATTTTGGTTCCTCCTTTCTTTTCCTGGTTATAAGTAAAAAGAGCTCATGCAAAAATGGGACGTAATTAAAGCATCTCAAATTTCTTCTTTTGGTCTTAGAATTCCTCCACTGCACAGAACTTATCAAACTATATATGCACAAAATTTAAAAAAAAAACATAAAACTATTTACAAAAAATAAAAATGGTCAAGGAAATAAGAATAAATCTTAAAATATCACCAACATAATAAGTTTCATTGCATATTAAACATCAAAATTTTCACATTTTGAAAAAGAAAAAACCAAGTTTCATATATACCTTATCAGGACAAGTGAGGAAAACATCTCCCCAAATGCCAGGATGAAAATCAGCCTTGGGGCGATTTTCCATATTGGAGGATATGGCAGTATGGGTCGAAGCAAGAACTTGAGAAACTTGTGAAGCCATTTTCTATTGATGGGGTATGCTAGTGCTGGAAGCAGAGTTCAAGGGTTAATTTGCTACCTTTACTACTCCTTAATCGACACAGATTTCTGTGAGTCTAAGAGTGCAATTGCTGCATGAATTTATAGACACAAGAGTGCCCACTAAGTCAAAACAATACAACTTTAAATGAACAACATTATTAACACAAAAGGCCAAACATGTCATGTGGGTCCCTTAAGGGAGGAATACGCAAACGCAGAGAAAAGTCCTTTAAATGCTTTTGTTTGTTTCTATTCTTCCAAGACAACGTCTGCAAAAGTGTGGTACAAAATATCGTTTTCTTAACTTTGACAGATTTAAAATCAATCAGCAGTCTTTGTGACCAACCTTTTGCTGATGTTTGATTATTGAAATTTCGTTGGGAACTCAACAGTGGTGGCAAGTTTTCAAGGCTTTCCACTATTAAGCATGCATGCAGAAAAAACTTCAATTTAATGCATAAATATATATAATATGATTAATGAAAAGGAAACACAAAAAAGTGTAATACGGCTCTAGAGTAAATATATACATTTAATATTAACATATATATTAATGTAAACATTAAAAAAAATTCAAATATTTTAATAATAAGTCCATGTGTTTTTTATCTCATCAAGTAAGATTTGATTTTCAAATTAAAATGAAAAATAAAAAAAAAATTGTGATTTCATAACAACTAGCTAGCTAGATTAAATAAGTAACAAAATATTATTTTGAAGATAACGGATGTGCTACGAATTCATATTAACAAGAGATAGTGGGAGTCTTGGGTTAATAAATAAAAGTTTTTCTTCACTTATTAAAAATATCTTTTGAGTTAGATACATGCATCTTTGATAAGTGGTATTAAAGTATACCTAAATTCTTACTTATGTGGGACTCTCATTAGAGATATCAAGATTAACCTAAACTCATATCAGGGTAAGAGTCTTGCTATAGGTAAAGAGCAAATGCAACACAATTCAATGAGGTAGAATACCACGCACTAGTAAGATGCAATGGGTCTTGGATTAATAAATAAAGACCTTCCTCCACATATCTGCATGTCTTTTTGGTTAGAATCATGAGCTCGTAACACATGTATGATTCCAACATTGAATTATCCAATTTTGCAATTTATTGTGTTCAATTAGATTCATTGGATTTGCATTCTAGTTTTAATGCATCAATTGTGATCATCAATATTGTTTATTAGCACAATGTAATCCACAGAGAGAATAAGGAGTCTAACTCTCATTAATTAACTAACTTTATGGTGTCTATTTGTAATAAAGAAAACCCTTTTATTAAGGATGAAACATAAAAAAAAATTCTAAACTGGCATTAACTTTTTAATTAAATCCTAATCATTGATATTTCTAGAGACATAATTAAATTATTATAATAATTTTTTTTTCAAAAAACACAATAAAACCTCTATAAATTAATATTCTCGAGGTCATGAAAATTTATTTATTAATTGAGATATTATTTAATTGATAAATTAATAATTTATTAATTTATATATTAATTAATAAAAAAATAATTTATCAAGGTATTTTATTTTTAAAAAAAAAACTGAACTTAATGCATGTATTGCGTATTGTGATTATACGAATATTGCCTAATTATTGAATTACGAATTATCATTATTCTATGTATTTATTTAACCAAAACTAATTCATAAATGTAATTAATCTTATTAAATAGAAGCTATGAATTTATCCATTGCTTCAACAAATTAAAATTATATTCATTGTATGCTTAATTAATATACTACATAAACATTAAGTCAAGCAAAAATATCTATAAAAAGCATATAATATATCACAAATAATAAAACTAAACACAATAGCTTCTCATTTTAAAGGTATAAAGAAATCAACAATGACGGATAAAAAGTTAATGTACTAAAAAAAGTTAGAGATGAGGTCTAAGAAGACATCAATGTCAAAAAAAAAAAGTAACATGAGAGTCATATTTTATAAAGGCCTCCTAATTGAGTCATGTATATGTATAATTTTGATATATGAGAAGATTATTAATTTATATATTAAGTGGGACTTATGTGCTTTTTTTAAATGTATTATCTCATAAATTTAATGAATTATTAATTTACCATGTTGGTCTCAAGTAAAGATCAACCAAAAATATTATATAGTCAAAATTATTAATTTATTGATTATTAATTTATAAAAAATTTACTATACAATTAAAATATTATTTGATTGATATTCTTGTAGAAGAGTTAGGCAATAACATGTAATCTTATTTGTTTTTGTTTGAACATGGTGCCAAGCCCACATATAGACCACTTGAGCTAGCTTAATTATAAATTGATATTGATATTGATTTTAGCTAGTGGACCTCAATAGTTGTAAAAGATTATCTTTTTATTTTCTTTACTTTTCATGGTTTTCAGCTCAATAGAAAATGACATATGTTTAAAAAAGTCTTTGAACTATCTAAGAAATTTAAATAAGTTTTTAATTTTTTTATTACGTTTAATTAAATTTTTGCATATTTATTTTTAGTTAAATAAGTCTTTATAACTAATAATTAATTAACTATCATTAATTAAAATATTACTTGTCATTTTATATCTACATGACCTTAACATGATGTTGATGTAAAAGACAAAAAATTCACATTACTATGTTATTATCATGCAACATTAGTATACCATGTCATTATCAATTATGTTATGTCAACATGTCACATTATCATCAATTAGAACATGTTAGTATGTTACGTCAATACCACATGGTATAGAATGATAAATAGTATTTTGATTAAATCAATTATTAGTTATAAAGACTTATTTGACTCAAAATAAAAGTATGAAGACTTATTTAGTTCAAAATAAAAATATAAAAACTTGATTAAACGTAATAAAAATATAAAATTTTATTTAAATTTTTTTAAATAATTTAAAATTTTTTTAAATATTATATCATAGAAAATTGTCTCAATGGAACAATATTCTTGGCTTTGCCATAACCACCACCATTGCTGTTAATTTATCCTTCTCTATCAATAATAATTACCAGTTCAAAATATTTTTACCCATTGGACTCGAGTTTTTCCCGTCCAGATTAATTTTTCGAAAATTGTTTTTGGAACCAAACTCAGTGTGAAAAAGTTTCTGAGGACAGAAAAGGTGTGCCTTTGAACATGGAAATTAAACAAAAGCGTTTCTAACTCAGTGTGGAAACATTTTCCCATCGGACTTGAGATTTTCTCACTCATATTACTCTTATTTAATTCCCTTGTTCAAAGGCACATTAATCAAACCAACTTTTTCCTCCGGGATTTCATGTCAGATATTGTTATAAGATTCATTGCACTCTTGCCGTCATATTTATTATATTTACTCAGTCTATATCTAGCAGACTCGTGCGAGGACCAAAGTTAACATTCTTCTTCTTCAAGAGGGAATTAATGTCCTTTTTGGTTTGTTCAGTATGTGTGTTTATACAACATGTGGATGCATATTTGATTAACGATAGTATATTCCTATGCTAGACTATGTTTTCAATTGTTAATGATGCTCTACTGTAAAATTCAATGGCTTATTAAGACATTTAACATGTTTACCAGACACGTATAATCAAATAACAATACCAAATTTGGAAAAAGTTAACTTTACCAAAAATGGTAGAATTTTCCATGATCATATTTTCTGGCTTGATGTGCTAAGTTTACAATTCTAGATTCTCAGGTTAATTTTCTATCAAAAAAATGATGAATGGTGAACAGAAAATTACTGTTTCTTTTTTGAAATCATAGTCATTATTTTTTTTTCAATTCAAAGAAGAAGATTGAGATAGAAACTATTAATGACTTGCAAAACTTCGTATTTAATCTTAACTGTTAAAATAATTATATAAATTATTTAATATATAAATAAGCAAACGTGTTAGACGGGATGTTGAAGATTGATCGTAAACTTTTTTTTTTGTGATAACTTAATTACTTTCTTATTGCATACATTCTTTTTTATTTTTTTGTTTTAGTACATGCAATATTAAATTACACAATAAAAAATAATTATCTTGTCATCTAAAAAGATTTGACTGTAAAATCTGAAGATGGTAGAGGCAACTGTATTTTTCTTCTTTGGGTGCTATCTCTTGTTAAAGAAACAAAATTCTTAAGAAAATAGGCACATTGATCACATGATTGCAGCCACCAAATACCCGTGAGAATAATAAGGGAGTGACACCTTGAAGTCTCGAGACTCATCATCCGTACTTGGACCGCCAAGTGTAGACTATTCAACTACTCATCAACAGGCCAAATTAGTCAGATAGTGACTTAACTTCTCTGGATACACTTATGAATCTCTACCCAAATTTGTTGAAAAGAAGCAGGCACGTGCACCTTTTTGAGTGCTGACACAAGGATTCAAACAAGACCGCTGGGGACTCTTGAATCCACCAGCTGCATATATTTAATTCAAATTTGCAAACTGTACGCCCTGTACTGGGTTGATGCTAGAATTTGATATTTCAAACCCTAAACTTTGAACTCATCATCACTGTGCATGCATTCGAGGCCGACAGAAACAAAGAGGAAAAGCAAGCTTCGACAACTTTTACCAAATATCTATTGAAGGATTATTATTCTATAATTAAACTTTATATATGA